TTTAAGCATATGATGGCTGTCAAGGAGTTGTCTTCATGGACTAGTTTGCTTAATGGGTTGGTGATGAACAACAAGTTGGCCTCTGCAAGAAGAGTATTAAACAAAATGCCGAGCAGAAATGATGTAGCTTGGAACTCAATGATAACGGGCTACATTCAGCACAAGATGCCAGTTCAAGGTCTTATCATGTTTAAGCAGATGAAAGCAGCTGGAGATTGCCCTCTCACGGCTGCAACATTTGTAGCAGCTCTTTCAGGGTGTGCTGATATTGGTTCGATTAATCAAACCCAGGCTATCCATTGTTGCATCAGGAAGTCTGCTTCGGATTCTAATGTCACTATCAGCAATGCTCTAATTGATTCCTATTCAAAAGGAGGCTGCCCTGATTGTGCCAGAAAGATATTCAATGATATACGAAACAGAGATGTTTACTCATGGACGAGCATGATATCAGGCTATGCTTTCCACAGCCAAGGAACGGAAGCTATTGCTGTTTTCCGCAACATGTTGGAATCAAGAGCTATTCCGAATACTGTAACATTCTTATCAGTTCTAACTGCTTGCAGCCATGGAGGGCTAATCGTCGAGGCACAGAAGGTGTTTAATGAAATGATTCGCGGCCATCACTTGTACCCCAGCATTGAGCATTATGGATGCATTGTGGATCTTCTCGGTCGAGTGGGACGTATAGAAGAAGCTGTTGAGTTTGTCAACAAGATGCCTGTCACTCCGGATGCTGTAATATGGCGGTCTCTGTTGAGTGCTTCATTGGTGCATGGGAATTTGGATGTTGCTGAAATGGCTGGACAGAAGGCCATTGAGTTGCAGCCAGATGATGATGGAGTTTATGCACTGCTGCACAACGTATATTGGGCAGCAGGCAGAAGTGGAGATGCGTTGAAGGTAAGGAAGATGGCGAGTCAAAAAGTCTGTAAGAAACCAGCTTGTACTTGGGTTGAGATCAATGGGATTGCTCATGAGTTTCTTGCTGAAGACGCAGCTTCAATTCGTCATTGGCCTGTAGATATTCAGTCGCTTGTAATGCAGGACACTTGGCAACTCAATGTCGAGTTTTCGCTGTTGTAACTTAGAATTCTTATGGTTTAGGGGCACTAAGACTATCTGTTCTGGTTTTTTGGAGTTCTCGTTGCTTTTGTTCAACTAAGGCCTAAGAAGGATGAGCTGAGTGAAAAAGTTAAGAAACGGGGATTGAACCTGAGTGAATCCCCAACTTGAATTGGCACCAATACTCTCACGGCACAATTCGCAAATAATAATAAAAAAACAACAACGCCATGTAACCCCCAACTTGAAAATCTTGCTGCGGGTCGATCCACAGGTATGTGGCACCCATTTTTCTTACAGATTTAAAGTTAAGTCGTGTCAACCCGCGAGCACCTGTGGGTTGACAATCTTGGTTGGGTGACAATTCATCATTTCATTTAAGACTAACAAAATTGGTTATTATTGTTGACAGAAAGGGGTGCGCACCGGTCCAGTATTGATTGGATCAACTTATGAGTCGTCGTCTAATAATAGAAGAAATATGAGGACCATAAATCAGATCATTATTATATTCATCTCCGGTTTGATTTGGTCCCAATATAAATCCAATCTATGAAATTTATTAGTGTAAAGACCAAATTGCATAATTTTCGATACAGTATGAGTTGGTTCAAATGTCAGTTTGGTCTAGTGTGGACCAAACCGTTGCACACTCCTAATAGACGATAGAGCCCTGATAGTACAGAAGAACAAATGAGATCTTCTACAACAAATACATTCTCTTTAAATGATTTGAGTTAGGAGTAACTAAGCGAATAATTAAAGTGAATGAGAAATGTAGATTCTTCTTGCTCGAACCAATTATCTGAATTTTTTTAATGATCGTATTGTCTTAGATACCACTAAGACTAAAAAATCTTTTAATTGTAACTTTGGTGGTTAGGTAGTAAGATAACACTTGATTAGTTATATTTACACCAAAGACTTAACTCAAAATTGATTTAATAATTCATGAGTAAAATGGATTTGTTGACTTTGTCAAAGAATTTGGTTTGAAGTTGAGACTTTATTCATATGGATATCGACCAACCAAAACCAAAACCAGGATTAGAATTTAGACTAGACGAATTGGCAGAACAGTGGCCTTCCTTTATCATGTAATTAGTCTTCAATTACGCTACTTGATTGGTCCAATTCCACCACTCGATCTCTCCAACTTGGCCTCCATGCAATTGAAAGTCCCCAATTTTTCCATTCCCCCACATACCCTAAAACCCTATAATATAAATCTCCCTAATTACCTTCTCCCTTCAACTCAACCCATCATCATCACTCCCACCCTCAACAAAGTCAAAGATCAAAAGCCTAAACTCCCAAACACACAAATGAAGGCAACAATGGGACTCCCCTTCGCTCCGGTCTCAAGTACTTCATCCTTCCTTCCGTCTCAGGAACAGGCGGAGGATCGGAGTTGCCCTAGACCAAACCAAGGCCAAGAAATGCCCATTATCCGTGTTTCAGGACGACTACGATCGAGCTTTCGAAGGGACTCTCAGTTGTGTTCCTACCGGTCAATGCCAAGCCAGGCTACACCGTCCAGACCGCCACAGACCTCAACATCGAGTTCGCAAACGAGACCGCCTGCGACGAGGCGAAGGTGTGGAAGGTGGAGAGCTACGACGACGATGTGAAGCAGTGGTTCATCGGGACCGGTGGGATCGAAGGGAAGCCTTGTCCTGGTGGAGAACTGGTTCAAGATTGCCAAGTTTGGCGGGAACTACAAGATTGTGTACTGTCCTTGGGTGTGCAAGGCTTGCAAGGTGACGTGCAAAGATGTGGGGGTTTATGAGGACGAGGATGGGAAGAAGAGGCTTGCTCTTACTCTGAGTGACGATCCTATGATTGTTAAGTTCATGAAGGCTCCTAATCACTAAAAAAGTGCTGACTAAGCTATACACATGCACGTTTACTATATTGCATTGTTTGAGAATAAGAGAGCTAAAATGCACCCATACATATATGGCGCGGAAGCTCATCAATGATTTATTTTTGTACTTTGAGATTATTCATAATGAATCTCTTAGGCATTTTGATTATTTGATGTTCTATAACGTTAATAGGTGGAGCTTGCTTAACTTGTTATCCAAAAATCTCAAATTATTATTATTATTATTATTATCCTCTTTTGGTAGCGAGGAACTTGGTTTATATATTTGAAAATATAACGATCAATGAATTATGTGAAATAACTCACATTAGATATGTAATATTTTACTTATCATCATCCAATGTTGTATAGTAATCTTTGGCTAAACTATTTCAATCGGTAACAAAAACATGATGCGATTTTGTCCGTCTCAATAAAATTTCCTCATTTATAAAAAAAAACATGATGCGATAAACTCTTTTCAACCTTTATAAAGATTTGCTCAGAAACCAATAGCATTAAGACGTCATTGTGGGGTGGGGTACAATGTAGCAGCGACGGATCCAGAATAGGGTCATATTTGAAAAGAGGCGGAAAGGGCTGAGCCGTAAATCGATGAACATTGAAACGAATCCCTAAATTCGAAAATTTACAAGTACTATACTACCTATGGATCCAGCGGAGGGCTGGCCGTGGCCCAGGGAAGTCCCTCTAGATCCGCCACTGCAAGGTAGGGCCACATAGGGGTCGGGGTCGAAAATGGAATCATCAAGAGTAGGCGGCTGCAAATGAACAAAGCGGTCATGAGCAACTCACTGTTCATATCGAGAAAAACTCATTCGATATTAAATTTATAATTAGTCACTAGTGTTAGATGGTCTCGATTCATGTTATAATTTTTATTTCTTGAACATTTTTGTGATTCAAATAGTGAACTAATGAACCAATCAAATTGAGATGGTTCATCTGATTCCATTTTCAACAGCATAATCATTCGGTTCATACTGAACCACCCAAACAAACGAATCAAATTATTATTGTATATATCTAGTTTGACATTTCCACTAATAGATTACTAATCCGATTAGGTTCTTATAAGAAGTATAGTTATAGTTCATTTAACCAAAGTGGAAAAGAGAGAAACAATACAAGTGTGGGCTAGCTTAGTAGAAGGTGTAGTGAGGATTTATTTGGTATGGCATAGGATCGAATGGAATTTAGAGAAAGAGGAAGATGGCGTTATTAGATTAAAAGTTTCAAATTGGATATTGGATCACTTGCCTCAAGTTCTTTGTAGGATAGAAAGTTTCTTCTATATATGGTTAAAAAGTTCATCATATGTGCTTCTAAAAACAGAAATCCCACCTTAATTATCATAAACCTTTGTTATATCTAATTTAGCAGTCGAAGTGGTCTTTTTTTACTTTTATTTTGATTTTCATGACAAAAACATTCAAAACCTGCCATTATGTTGTATGTTATATTGATGTCAAGGATAAAAACATTTAATTGTCAACTATCCGTAGATTAATTAAGAAGGGGTTTCAATGTGTTTGCCAAGATTTTAGATAGTATCTATCTTGTAGAGCATGTTACACGTATCAGTGGCCGGAAAATCCATGATATTTATAATCGAGGGATCTTATATCTCATCCTACTTGATCAAACAAACTCCAAATAATCAAAATAAACAAACTAATAGTTAATTCAACAGCAATAAATGTGATTGGACTGAGTACTTGTTTACCAAAAAGGAAGGTAAACAACTTGACAATATAAATACCATGCATGCATGCATGAAAGTAGAGGGTCTAATAAGTTATTGGATCTCTGCCAACCCAAAAAGATGGCGGTTTATTAGACCAGCCAGATGAATAAGAATTACTAGTATAGGTCTAATCAGTTAACCATTAGTGCTTATTTACCTAATTGGCCCGATTAGATTCCATCAAATGTTCAACCATATCAAAGCCTTCCAATGTGCTTGCCCTTCAAGTGTACGTACGCTCACATGCACATCCTTAAAATTAATCAAAACTACGTACCCTATAAATTTCACATCTTCTTTCACCCAAATTAAACTTCCTCATCACCACTCACCTTAACAAAATGAAGCCAACAGTAGCTTCCTTCCTCCTCCTCCTCCTAGTGGCCGCCCTGACCTCAACACGACTACCCATCTCACTAGCAGCAGCTTCATCGTCAACGTCGTCGTCTCCCATCCCTGTCACCGACGTGGATGGCGCCACTGTTCGCTCCGGCCTCAACTACTTCATCCTCCCATCCGTCTCTGGACATGGAGGAGGTGTGGCCCTGGACCGAACCAAGACCAAGAAATGCCCACTTTCAGTGTTCCAAGACAACTACGACCTCTCCAAGGGGCTTCCCGTCGTGTTCCTTCCTCTCAACGCCAAGCCAGGCTACACCGTCCGCACGAGCATCGACCTCAACATCGAGTTCACGACGGAGACAGCCTGTGACGAAGCTGCGGTGTGGAAGGTGGAGGGCTACGACCATGACCTGGGCCAGATCAGGTTCGTCGGGACGGGTGGGATCGAAGGGAAGCCCGGTCCTAGGACGGTCGACAACTGGTTCAAGATCGTCAAGTATGGAGGGAACTACAAGCTCGTCTATTGCCCTTCTGTGTGCAAGCAATGCAAAGTCGAGTGTAAGGACGTGGGAGTTTTCGAGGACGAGTACGGGAAGAAGAGGCTTGCTCTTAGTGACGAGCCTTTGGTGGTGAAGTTCTTGAAGGCTACCAATTGAATTAATTACTGAAAGTGGCATGAAAGAATAATGTTGTGTATTATTGTATACTCTCTGCTAGCTAGCTAGCTAGCTAATATATATATAGTGTATGCCATAATAAGAGCTAAATGCACAATAGTGTAAGCAAGCTCATAATTAATGGTTTGTTTGTTGTTTTGATGAATAATGGTCATAAATGATCAATGGTTGTTTTTACTCTTTCTTGTGTGTGGCACTTTCGTTACTTTGTTTAATTTAATGGACAAAAGGGTTTTCTACTTAATGTTTGAGTTGGATGAAGATAAAGTAGAGCAAATAAAACCATAACAATGATTAACTCTTTGTCGCAGGAGATTGAACAAATAGTTAAATGATTGATTATATCATAAGCGAAATAGTAAATCGATTGATTGATTGATTGATTATATAGTAAGTAGTAAGCTCTTTCTTGTACACATAGATCATTCATATCCAATCCGATGTTGTACAGTAATATTTCACTAAACTTATCAATGTGTCACGAAAACGTAGATAATAATGTGGGCCTATGGCGCTTGGCCCATAATCAAGCCGAATTGGGACCCATAGGGGGAAAAAAAACTCCGGTGCAGATGGAGAGTAGTCGCAGTTATTTATCCCAAGTGGGAAAGAGAAGAACAACAAGCGTGAGCCAGCTAGTTCGGTCCAATATCCAATATGGATTAATTTTATTTTGATCTAGTGTATGATTTTTTTAAAGAGAAATAGGAAGATGGAAATTGGATTATACTACTGTAATCAATTTAATTTGATTCAACTTAGAAATTGAATTGAAAATGACTGGAAATGATAATGGAATTAATTAGTTAAAATGGTATTCAATTCTTTCTTTCTTTCTATATTTTAAGATGCAACCAAAATCAAAACAAATAAGAAGTCTTTGCAGTTCTATCAGAAAATCTATCACAATTAAATCAAACTATGTGTGAATCTATCCTAATCAATTCAATCTGATCACTAGCTAATAGGAACTAATTCAATTTAGGAAGGATTAAGTTATCAACAAGTAAATATTTCATGTACAACCACGGGATTAACGTCTAAATTACATTTTGATATGCGTATCTGGATCATCTCCATTCAATTAGAATAATAATCTATTGGGTACTGCTTACTGATAGCTAGAACTAATTAATTCACATAAGGTTTGATGGGGATTGGTAGATTTCAAACGGAAAAGGCCCATTGACTGATGACGGAGATGCTTATCCTAATAATTTGTGGTTTAATAACTAACTTTTCCCATCCTAAACCTTTTCCCCCCCTTTTCTTCAGCACACCATTTGGTCTTAGCTAGTCTTCTCTCATATGACTAATAATTAATTCGATGATGCAATATGCTTTCACCCCAACTTGGACCCTTTTCTTCTGGAAGTGAACTACAACACTCCCAAATCAACTTGCTGCTCCTTAGAATACTTGGACTTGTAACTCTTTGTTTTGGAATTTTCACCCATTTGCACATTACAATATGTACCATACGTACATCTTGTATGGATCTCTCCCCAACCCAATATCAGACTCCAAAATGGACCAGGAGTCAATAAAAGAGGTGGCCATCCATTTTGACTTCATTATATTGCATCACTCCTAGTCCTAGATAGGGGTGTTAGTTCGGGTAGGGTTCGGTTGCCCGAACCGAAATCCGAAAAAACCCGAAAACCCGAAACAAAAAATCACTAAAACCGAACCTGAACCCGATAAGGACTTGCGGGTTCCGGTTACCCGAACCCGAATGGGCACCCCTAGTCCTAGAAAATGAATTAATTAACCGTGCCAATTTCAACTTATTGAACTGCATGATTCGACATATACCATTATTTTCTTTAGAAGATATTACGTACCCATTTTATGAATATCATGGATCAGGATGTACATGGGTCATTACTTCCTCTGCCCTTTCCTAGTCTACTTCATCCGTAACTCATTTTATCTCAATAATATTCACTCGTACACATGTTGTTTTGATTTTTTTTATAAATTAATATATGCATATTTAGTGAAAATTTCCATTAAATACAGTTTGAGTTTATTAACCATGTATAGCCATTTTTCTGTTTCTGCATGTAATATGCTTTCTCTTTTCGATTTTATATTAAAAATAAAAAAAATTGATTATTTTTATTTTCATTTTAAAAACGAATAGAGGACCAACCTATCTCGAGCCATACTCCGCATTAATATTACTCAATCTGACTGACCCATATCTGTACCAAAATAAGTATGTATCTTTAGTTACCAAACTAGTGCCTGCCTGCCTGCCATCCCCAACTAACTACTCCCCACACTCTATAAATACATAATAATCGTTCCTTCCATCTCCTGCACTCATCTCATCAAAAATCATATTCTTGAATACATAACAGAAACCAAAACATCCGGCCACTAGGAGAAAAGAAAGACATGGCCGCTGCGGCTAGTCCAACACTACTACTAGTAATATTATTACTACTACTCAACCATTTCCCCTCATCTCTCTCCGCCGCCTCCCGACGCCTCCTGGTCGCCGACGACCAGTACTTCCCGGACGCCGCGGTAGCCGCCGGCCCACCCGTCCCCATCCTTGATATCGACGGCAAGACCGTCAAAGCCGGGGGCAGCTACTACATCATTCCTGCCAACACCACCACGCATGCCGGCGGCGTCGGGATGGCCAGCCTATCAGCAACCTCCACGTGCCCGCTCTCCGTGATCCAGGACCGCCACGCGGACTCCAACGGCTCCCCGCTCTCGTTCCTCCCCGTGGCCACGAAGCTCGGGTACATCGTCCGCACCTCCACGGACCTGAACATCGAGTTCACCACGACCGACGCTTGCGAGGAAGGCGGGGTGTGGAAGGTGGAGGAGTACGACGATGACGTGGAACAGTGGTTTGTGGGGACCGGCGGGGTGGAAGGGAAGCCAGGGGCGAGGACGGTGGAGGACTGGTTCAAGATCGTCAAGTATGGAGTTAATTACAAGCTGGCGCACTGTCCGGGAGTGTGCAAGTCTTGCAAGATCAAGTGTAAGGACGTCGGGGTGTTCGTTGACGAGAATGGGGTCAGAAGGCTTGCTCTCACCGAGGACCGCCCTTTTGTGGTCAAGTTCGCGAGGGCGGATAGTTAGGATAGGAGGAAGAAACAACACTACTATATATATATATATATTGGACGAAGCTGAGTGATTGAGTGCGTCACGATGAGATAGAGTGCTCAATTCTACGATAATTTATTTTGACTCTTTATTTAGTACATGTGATGTACCATTTCCACCGTCAATAAAACTGGAAAAGAAAGAAAGGATAATAAAGACGTGTTAATTAATAGATAAATACTTGTTGTTTCCATGTCGACATAGTATAAGTTGAAACTGCATGATTTGATGTTGGTCGCGATAGTTTTCAGCATTTGAGCAATGAATGATTCAAACGCAAATATGATCAACTCAGAGATCAAAGGGACTAGTGTTTGTGTATCACAATCTCACCTGCTGATTAGACCCGAACCCTTCCAATGGGCGAAAGTTTTTATAACCCAAAAATCTAAATGACTCGAATCCCATTAAGCCATAGTGTTTTTGGGCTGGGTTGGCTGAATTAGTGGGTCGACCAGGTAGACCCGTTCCATTTCATATGCCACCCTCAACATGATAAAATTACTCATAAATTGGTCACATGTTCGAAAAATTCATATAAAATTGAAAGACAAGTTGGACTGTAAGAATAATCAAACATCATTTGTTTATTGTACTAGCTAGTATTTTTGTTTCACTCATGATCTTCAAAATAGTGGTGAAAAAAATTGTTCAAAAAGTTTGTTAATGAGAAAAAGCATTTTCGTAATTTTTTGGGCGATGAAAGGCCATTTTCTTTGGATTTTGAAGGCTACAGATCAGAAATTTGGGCGGAGACTATTCTTCAACGACAATTACGTCCATTAAGAACCAATTTGGGCGGATTTATTCCACGTCGATTTTTCGCATATTCCAAAGGGGTAGCATCACAGATTTTGGGCGATTTTCTGGAAATGACATTTTCTTTTGATTCTGGAGGCTACAGATAACGGATTCAGGCCGAGGCTATTCTACACCGATATTAAAGTCTATTGATCCTATTCTCCACATATGATAAGTCCATTAAACTCTGATTTGGGGCAATTTATTTTCGGATGACATTTTCGTAATTTTTTGTGCGATGAAAGGACGTTTTCTTTGGACTTTGAAGGCTACAAATCACGGATTCAGCCTGAGACTATTCTTCAACGACGATACGTCCATTAAGAACCGATTTGGGCGGAGTACCATCACAAATTTTTGGCGATTTTCCCTAAATGACATTTTCTTTCGATTCTGGATGATACAGATAACGGATTCAGGCCGAGGCTATTCTCCACCGATAATGTAGTCCATTGATCCTATTCTCCACGGATGATAAGTCCATAAAACTCCGATTTGGGCCAATTTATTTTCGGATGGCATTTTCATTATTATTTGGGCGATCAAAGGCCATTTTCTTTGGATTTTGAAGGCTACAGATCCTGGATTCGACCTAAGGCTATTCTTCAACAACGATTACGTCTATTAAGAACCAATTTGGGCGGATTTATTCTGTGTCGATTTTGGGCAAATTCCAAAGGGGTACCATCACAGATTTTGGGCGATTTTCCCGAAATGCCATTTTTTGGATTCTGGAGGCTACAAATAACGGATTCAGGCCGAGACTATTTTCCACCGATAATGAAGTCCATTGATCCTATTCTCCACGGATGATAAGTCCCTTAAACTCCGATTAGGGCAAATTTATTTTCGGATGGCAATTTCATAATTTTTTGGGCGATGAAAGGCCATTTTCTTTGGATTTTGAATGCTACAGATCACGGATTCGGCCTGAGGCTATTCTTCAACGACTATTATGTCCATTAAGAATCAATTTTGGAGGATTTATTGCGGGTCGATTTCTGGCTTATTCTAAAGTGGTACAATCACAGATTTTGGGAGATTTT